CGTGGCTGTCACACCCCCTCTTAAAACCCCCTGCCGAGGCGCAGTCTTCTGTGTGGCTGTTGACAGGCAGCCAAGTGAGACCAAAGCCATCTGACACCCGCTCTGTGTTGATAAGATTTAGGGTGTGACCCAGTGAGGCTGGGAACCATCTTAGGTTCTCAACACCCGGCAAAGCCTCAACCCCAGCACCCAGGTCCACGATGGCTCGGAGGCTGTGGGGGAGGGCACTCTCCGCAGGCGATCCTGAAGACTGTCCCAGGAGACAGCCAGCGCCAAGCCAGGGGGCCCCCTGAGTCTGGGGCCTCCACCCCCACCACCCTCCCCTTAGGCAGATGGAAGCCAGCTGTCCCTCTCGTCCACACGCACAGAGCGTGCGCTGTGTCTCCCGCGGAGGGTCACTGCGGGACGACCATCTTTTAGAACTGCAAGCCCCGCCCCCTCTAGCAGGTGACAGACTGGAACCAGGGCCCCTCTGTGCCTTTCCTGCAGCCTGCACAGCCCTAAGTTAGCCACCCTTCATTCAGCCCCTCGAATAGCCAGCCGGAGCCTGCCAACCGCTCTGGCTGCATCCCGCCCACCGCCCTCTCGTGGACGGATCATTTATCACTCCATCCTCATCTTTGCTCAACTTTGGACACCACACTCCCCGTTTGGCTGGTGGCCCTGGAAATCCCGACACGCAGACTTGGCGCGACCACCCCCTGCGGCAGATGCCCTGCGCTACCCGTCCTGCCTCCGGCCCCCGCCTCTCCGCGGCCGCACGCGGAATGTTCTCGTTTTGCTGCCCGTTCCCCATCTCTCCCCACCCTGGTCTAGTCTGCGGCTCATTCTGTCGAGTGAGTTACGTTTTTAACGTTTTTTTACTTCTGAAACATTTTGTTCCTTTCAGCCATGTGCCATCTCACCTTGCGCTAAGTGTGCCAGTGACATATGAGCGGAAGATCCTGGGATGCTTCTGGAGGCTCCGGCGCACGAGGCCGCCCGCCGGAGGCCGGCCGCTCCCCCCACCCGCTTTCGCCTCCTGGGCATCGGTGCAGGGATGATGGCTGGGCCTCCAGCAGCCACATTAGACCGTGAGGTCACCTTGCGGATGGAAGCAGAAAGGTGAGACCATAGATGACAATTGAAGTCACCAGACTACTTTCTCTGGATTTCGTGTTCGAGAGAGAAATAAACTTCTAGCTGCCACTGTTTCTTAAGGCCCTGTTTCCCGGGGGGGGTTGGATATCACCCAGCCAATCGGTGCGATGCTAACTGAGGCGCTGGGGCTGTGCCTAGAGTCCTGGGTTTGTACACACATACATGTGGTTACACGAGAATACACGTATGTGCACACACACACTGTACACGCAGCACACACACGAAGACATGCGCACATGCACACAGGAGCACAGAGGTCTGGAAATGTAAACCACGCATTCACCTTTAAACTGCTAGTGGAATCTGGACAGCTTGGAAAATGGGAGCGTGAGACTCTCCCGTGACCCCACCACCTTGGCAAACAGCCCAGCCAGCTTTACTCTGTGTATCGTAAATGGAAAAAATGCTTTATTAGATTTTTTTTATTTGGTTCTTGAATTGGGCAGATAAATTAGGCACCCTTTTTTAACTTCTGGGAAATGCTTCAAAAACAGGTTAGAACAGAAAGTTTTTATTTGCAAACACTATTAACCATTTCCTGTTCCAACCTCAGAAGTAGCTGTGACTCTGCCGGCCAGCGGCGTCCCGCCCACGTGGTGGATGGCCGGGCCATCACCCACGGCAGCCTCAGAGCAGTTTCGGGATGATCCTGCTGCTTCCTGTGTTTCTCCCCACGAATGGAAACCGCCTCGGGAGAGCGCAGGGCTCCCCCTCTCCCCAACTTTCCATCTGCGCCGCTGGCTCACGCCCCTCTGGCTGCCGCCTCTGCGTCAGCACCTCCTGGGGCAGCCCCCCTGGAAACTGGAGCTCTGCGTGGGGACCTTCCCCAGCCCGAGGACCAGCTGCAGCCTCAGGAAGGGGTGGGGTGCCCCGCAAACACCCCGCAGCCCCCCTTTGCTCCCCACTTCCTCATCAGTCCGGTAGGAAGCAGCCAGACAGCAGGTTCACGAGAGCACTAGCGGCTCAGCAGCTCCCAGAGGCCAAGCTGGTGTCCCCACAGACCGCACACCAACGTCACACGCACTGTGGCACTCAGTGACACGCAGTGGGGCACTCACCTTGGGCTTGCCACACCCAATGACCCTGGGACTCCGGCCCCCTTCTTACCTGTCCCACCCCCCTCCCCGAGCTCTGACCCCTGCCCAACCCAGCAGGTGTGAGGCTCTTCAAGGTCCTGTGTCCACCTGGTACCCCACAGTCACTGTGTCCCCAGCTACTCCCACCTGCCCCCACCAACTCCGAATCCCTCAGGACCCAAGTGCCCCTTCAGCCTCTGGAGTTGGGGTCCCCCATCCAGCCCATCCCTCCAAGGGGTGTCAGTGGAAAGGAGGTGGAGGGGTGGTAGGGAAGGGGGAGGGGTGGATCCAGGAGGAAGGTGGGGGAGGGACACCGCCCGTCACACACGGTGTCCCCCTGTGGCCACGTGTCCAGGTCCCTGCGGACAGAATCACGGGGTGGTGAGGGGACCTCCCAGGGGTCTGACGGCCTCTCCCGTCCAGAGCACAGGCCGCACTGGCCTCCACGAGCCCTTAGCCCAGGCCCTCAGAGGTGTCCCGTAGAGCCTCAGGCCCCACGTGACGATGCCCCGGACAGATCGTGGACACTGAAGTGCCAGGTTCCGTGCTGGCCTGCACGGGCTGGTCGCCTAGCGGCCTTTAGCCTGCCCTGACCCCTCTCCCCAGCCCAGACTGGGCCTGCTCCTCCGCGGGGGAGCCCGGGCTGGGAATGCAGCAGCCGCCCGTCCACGGGC